CTCTAAGCTTAAGCACTTGGCATTCTGCCGGCTCAACGCCTGTCCACAGAGCAGCCGTGCCATTTCACACTGTGTCATTTGTGCCACTCACACTGCTCTACTGTCATCTGATGCTGCTAGTTTTTAACATTAAACTGTGTACAAAAACACGCTGTGGCATTTAGATAACACGCTGATGGAATTTTCAGCACTTGGGAAAAACTCATTTTAAATTTCAACTGAGATGTTTTGTGCAGATTAAGTCAGTTTAGCTGCTCCAAATGGAATGGACTGTGCTCATACCTGGCTCTGGAAACTCATTTCGTTGTCAGGTGAAAATGCCAGTATTTCATTAACTTGTTCAATTTGATCACACAGATGTTGAACTTTATCCAGTAGGGTTTGCAGGTTTGGAGGAATGATGCTCTGTCTGAATACTGATGTTGACAATGTTTAGTTTGGGCTGTTATTATGAAATAGTTAATTGATGCATTAGCATTTTGTACCAACCTTATTGGAGCTTTACTGCCAATTTGGTAACTAAACAGAAAGGATTCACATTTGTTTCTCAATGCGTCTTAGCTGTACACAGTCGTTGCAATTAAAATATGATATTATTACAAAATTGTTAACTGTGAGTAGCTCCATTTATGCTGTGTGGTTTATCGTGAGATAATACGTGTCCATCAATACCACAGGAACAAATAATGGTTTTGCATGTTGGCATTTATGGGGGTTAGGAGTAAAAATTGAGGGACTCACAGGAGACAATTAATGGAATAATTGTTAAAACTTGAGATCGAGATATCATGACTTTTAGTCCTAAGCATGTGGTCAAGCTCTGAAAATGATGGATCATATCTCATAATCTAGTTGGTCATTGAAAGAAGGGTTTGGAGGTTAGATGCATGGATGGGTGAGTGAATGATGCCAGAGTCTGTGTTTGAAGCGAGTAATATTTCTCATTGGAACGTCAGCTTGTTGTGTTAGACATGTTGAGTAGATATGCCCAAATCAAGCAAAGTTATTGCTTCAGTCACTGTTCCACATAAAATAGGTTAAAAATGAATCAGTTTGACCACAAGTTAGACCTCCTGCCCCGGTCTTGTTCAAACCTTTTAGTTGTGTCCCGCTGTACTTAGCTCCTAGCCCCTGTCAGGGCAGAATGAATACAAATAGGGGAGGTGAGGGGTTAATGCGCCAGCCCCCCCCCCCCGAGCAGTGGGAGTGCTGCTGTTAATGAAGGGCTTCCTCTGTGCTCAGTGAGAGATCACAGTGTCACTGACAGTATGGGAAAAACATGATCTGAAAAAACTAAACTAAAGAATGTCATCTCTACCACATACTGGCCAAACATATATTAGCTACATCTATGTCAAGATGCTGGTTGAGTGACAGGTAGAACAGCGCACCATTGCACCAGCACTGACTGGTAGTCAAATCAAGTAAACAAACGGTGGGCATAATTTTTCCACATTCTATTTCACCAGTGCTCAGGTCGGGCTCATGTAGGGAGAACTGGGAAGTTGAACTTGAAGGCTTTTTCTTGACCTTGGAAATAGCAGTTTGACAAATTTTTCGGACTAATCATATTGTTGTTACTAGGGGTGCAACGGTTCACAAAATTCTCGGTTCGGTTCAATACGATACAGTGGTGCCACGGTTCGGTACGTTTCGGTACGTTTTCAATCCAGCAAAAAAGCAGAAATGCCGGGGGGGCGTGTCTGATTTGATTCTCTGTTTGGGCTTTTGTTTTCTTTTACAAAGCAGGAATTATGGTCTGGAGAAATGGGCTGGTGAAGGAGTAGTGTCACGGGGCTCAATAGCATTTAGCATGTTCGTACAGCCTGGTTTATCACCAGAGTAGGGATAAACCTTTAGCCCTGTTTGAATCAAGAGGGAACAGATACCGAAACGCTGCGGGGAGAGTTTGTAACGAATATTACATGACTATTCACGTACACTGGGCGTGATGGTGCCAGTGTAAACAGGAAGTAGATTGGTTGCTTAGTTTAAAATAATACGACAGAGTAATAAAGTAGTCTTTAATAATGAAAGGTCGTGTTTGATACTTAAGATCTTCTCTAAAATCTTCCTCTGTGAACTCAAACAGATACATTTCGTGGAAAGTTTGATTTTTCAGACTTCGTTACAGCGCTGGGGGTATTGCTCTATATCTCTCACCTCATATTTACATTAAAATCAACACTTACACATAAAGGTTTACTAGATTATGGGTCCATAAATCTGGTCAACACACGTCTCTCACTCGTTTCCCCGTTGTTGTCTGTTCTCACTCGTAGCTCTGCTGAAGGCTTAGCTATCTGTCCTACAGGATAGCATTTACTGCTAAGCGTGATACTGGTGTGTCAAAGCAAATAGGTAATACTATAAGCTAAGCTTTTCAGCTGATCAGTTTGTATGGCCTTTTTCAAGAAATGCCATTCAGATATCAGACTATTTGCATTAGGGACTTGTCAGAGGATGTTCTTGTTTGATGCCTGACTATTAGCACAGAAATACTAGAAAGTGCTGACATTCATCTCATAACTATGTACACTTATATACAGTATGGCTGAACAATCGGAGAAAAAGTAAGCATGTACTTAATTATCTTTTACTGCAGTGTTTGTGGTGTACAGAATATGCTGGAAGGAAAATAGGCACAGGAAAACCAGTACAGAGCTGGAAAGACTGTCAGACCCTGCTGCAGTAAAATGAGAGGTGATATACTTACAAGGTCACAGCTGCATAGCTTACCACTTATGGTGAACGGACAACTAGACCATCCGACAGTTCTGCTGATCACTTGCTACTGTAGCTGCTTAAGCTAACATTAGCTTCACAGACTAACAGGACAAGTTTACATTAACTTTGCAGACTAACATAACATATTTAAATGAGGGTATTGCGTGAAACATAGTTTCAAATTGTAATGGAGGGCTTCTGACTCTGTGTTCACCTGCTATCTGTCATTCACACTCAACAACTACTGAGCTACCCAGCCTGATATCCAAAGTTTACGTAAGGCCGGTAATTTGATCGTATTTGTAGAATAAAAAAGACGTGTTCCTGCGTGAGTAAGAAAGTGTGTTGTCCAACATTTTCTTAGCTACTAGTGTGTAAATGATCATAATAGCTTATGAAACCGTTGCTGATTTAAACTACAGTGTGTTAAGTAACATCAATCTCACTCTTCCAAATGCTAATTTTGATACAGAAGTAATCCTACCTGTAAAGGTATATTTGATCAAATAAACATTTGTATGCTTCTTATCATTCTACATTCGGGTTCTTTCAGTAGGTCTCTTAGGTTTCTGATAGGTCTGTGTTTTTCAGATGGTGTCTATAATGTATCTCTTGGCGGTATGACTTAGTTATGTATGCAGTTTATTTTTAAAATGAAGCTTTGACTAATCTTCACACATCCTGGGGAGAGCCTGGTAGGGATGCTCCTCTCCTCGGCTCCTTTGAGGTGAGAGATGAGAAGGGATAGAGAAAAAGGGGTAACCGAAGAGAAATGAGAGGGACTGGAGGGGTGAGGAGCGGAGGAGAAAGCAGGGGCAGGGCCTGTGGTCATCCTACAGGGTGTATGAGGCTGCCAGAGGCCTTGTAATCCTCCCACACCGCTGCCCTCCTTTCCTCTCTGTCATCCCCTCCACCTCACCATGACAAACCGGATCTGTTCTCTATCAAGGACCCACAGGCTACCTCTCCTCTTTCCCCCCCTTTCTTACCTAGCAGTCCTCATCCCATTTGACATTTACACTGCCTCGGTCTTGGTCAGCTCGCAGAGACAGGCTGTGGCTGCCAGGCTTGGCCGCCGAGCTCATAGGCCTGGCAAGAGAGGAGCCACCAGTTCCCGCCGTGGCAGCATTTACAAAGCCACTTAATGGGTTTAGGCGCATTTGCTAATTTGTCAACAAGTTTCGGATGTGGAACACGCTGCCAGGCTGGTTGGTCTGGCACTTGACTGGGAGGCATCCCTATTGGCCAACCATTTCTGGAGCCATGGGTGAATTCAAAGGCCTTTGCATACTTGAATATTTGTATGTTGGCACCTGAGGCAGCAGATCTCAATGTTGAATGACTTACAAACAGGATCATTATTGTAGTGTCCAGGGTTTTAATGTAGACGGATTATCGATGGGAGAAAGAATACAGTTATTGGAGACAATAATACCTTTTTGGCATATTTTGCAGGATGGATGGTGTCTAAACAGGAGGCGTAGCAACGAGTAGCAAGTATCAGCAGAGCAGCTTCAGTGTGTCTACACAGGATGCTCTGTCTGTGTGGCTCTCAGCCCCAAGTCCTTTGGTTGTACTGAAAACGTAACAGCTCACAAATAATAGTTTCATTGTTAAAAGAGGCTCATTATTTACCCTAAACAGCGGGTCCCTGTAGTTTTTGGAAAATGTCACTCGAAGAAAAATACATTGTGCATTTGTTGGGGACTATTTTCAACAGCGGATTCGTTCATATTTTGTGCTCTAGTGTCTCGTGTTTATTTCTACCAGCAGTGTGGTGTACGTGGCATTCAGTTCATGGTCACCCAGTGCAACAGTGATGCTCATTGGTGTGTTTCAGAAGATGTTTCAGACTTTCAAACACACAATTGTTATTAACATGCACATGACGTCGTTCTCAAGCAGGCTTTATCCATTTTAAAAGAATTGGCAACACAGACACTTTGTATTGGTCAGATCTCACTCGAAAAGCTCAGTGAAAAATACATGTTTAGCTCAGTACAACTCTAATGCAATACTAAAGCTAATAAACACAGAGAACAACCTGCTATTTTCAGAAAAATACTGAAGACCCTTCAGATGAATTCAGATGAGAGCTGAAGTCCCTTCTTAATTTCACCAATTTAACTCACAGTGAAGGGTACATGTTTGTAAGATTTAAGACGTGAAGATTCATATTTTGAACTCTCAATCCTGATTACATTAATGTCAAAAACCTTTTGAATTCAAGTTGAAATTTGTTTTTTTCCTCTTGTTTGTTTTCATCCATCCAGGGTTTCTAAGCACAGGAGACCAGGCAGCCAAGGGCAACTACGGCCTGCTGGATCAAATCCAGGCTCTCAGGTGGATCAAAGAAAACATCCAGGCCTTCAAAGGAGACCCAAAGAGGGTGACCATTTTTGGCTCTGGCGCCGGAGCATCATGCGTCAGCCTGCTCACCCTCTCACATTACTCAGAAGGTACGTCTGCTTGCTTACAGGCATGCGTAACCACACAGAGATGTGCTCGCACTCAAACAGGCTTTTCATCATTTTGTCATTTCTGCTATATACGTGCATCTACGGGTGCTTTAATACATGGGCTTCACACGAACATGTCCACAGTGACCTCTGGTTCAGTAGGTAACCTTTAACAAATAAAACTCACTAAAACTAAAATAACTTGTTATCATATTTGCTCAAACTGTCATGATATATTGCTAGTAGTGCATGAGACTACTGAAACTACGACTAATTAATAATAATTAATAGATAATAATTTTCTTTATTTCAGCATCACTATCAGGAAGACACAAGGCACAAGAAGTATTAAATGGAAAATTGACATGAAATATCCGCAAGAAGTAACCCTATCTGGCAAAAACCCAATTTAGCAACTCAAGATAAAATCTAATGACCTGATTGCCTTTGCATGTGCTGTTTTTCCTGTTCCATATTTCAATCTTTTCTAAATCCAAAGGACTGCACTATATGTTTTCACAATTGAGTGAAGAATAATGAATTTTTGAGCCCATTTGGACTCTTGTTACTGCTATGATTTAAACTATTGGGGTTAGGGTGGAGGGTTGCATCTTTTTCACACTGAAATGACAGCAACAAAGAGGAGAAGAATGTAAAAGTTGGACGGCAACGATGTGATTGGCTCGCGGAGATCCTGGCAATAGTCAGTTGATGAAGTTGGGAGAGAGAGAGAGAGAGAGAGAATGAAGAATAAACCTCCAATGAACCTCCACTCAGCTTCATGAAACACTGCACAACCACAAGCACCAAAAGAAAACATCACTTTAGCATCAAGAAGAATGCACCGAATCAGTTATTAAAATAGCCTCATGACATCATATTTGACACACGAGACCACAACTAAAGTATGTGTTCATTGAAGTGTGTATCCTACCTCAGTCTGAAAGCATTAGCTGATGGAGGATGGATTCTGATTTATTATACTGTATTTGCATCTTTATTACATGTATTATTAATGGACATTTGAAATAGAAGAGTCACAAGGTTGCTCCCTTTCTGGCTTTCACAAATGTTTAGTTGCAACTTGCATGCAACGTTTGAAATTGCCGGACCCATCTGTCAGAAAAAAAAGGAGGATTTAGAGGATTGTACCTCAAGCAGTGCAGTTGTAGTTCTCAGGCCAGTTCCTTCTCTGTGTGTGACTAATACAGGGTTTTTGAAATGAAAAATGCACCTTCCCACCTTGCTGCTTGTTGCAGTTAAAAGGTCTGTTTCATTTTTCTTCATGGTGGACGTGAGGGAATATGATTGTCTTACTTTACATTTAGATTAAAGTCCTCATGTTGTGATGGGCATCAATCACGGCAGAGAGAGTCGACAAACACGCCATGGCGTGTTTGTCGACTCTCTCTGCCGTGATCTTGGTGATGCTTCTTTGTGCGTTTGTTCCTGTAACATGGAGCTTGTGCATCAGCAACATACCAAGATCATTACTCAGTCACTCATGTCTAGTTTTGTACTTCATTTTGCTGTAAGTTTAACTGATCTTGCACATTAGACTAACAGCGGCAGCAGTAAAAGCTTGTACACTGTTAACCAGGCCTTGTGGGAAATGTCTGCTGTGTGCTCCAAACATGCTTTTCAAGTCGGCCTGGTTGAGTCACCACCACTGTGTGTTTGCATGAATATAAATAGAACTCTGCGAAACAAAAAAAAAAGACACATAACTCCAGCATTCCTACTGCATTGTGGCCTACTTGCTGATTGGCAGTCTGTGAAGCTGTGCGACCAATATTCCAGGATGTGAAATCTGCCTACGGTGTTGTTGCTATACACACAGCAAATATATGTTATGCTCTGCGTTGTTCATTAGGGACACAAAGATGTAACATCAATATTCCGAATCATCCTTTTATTTGCCTTGAAATGTTTTTATGCCGGTGTGACAGGCGATAGAGCTCAAGACTTCTCTGTTCTACTGCTTGTATCGTGATATTTAAAGATTAACGGGACAACTCCATGATCATACCTTGTCCCTTTATATTAACTGGTTGCCTTTTGTTTGTTTCTATACAGCCTAAATCAATTCATTTTGAACGGTCTTTGCATACAGCAGTAATGTTACCAGACAGGCATTCATACTGACAAACAGCAGACAGCTGCTGAGACAAACATGAACCGGAGACGTCCGCCAGCGAAAAGGGCACTGCTGACATCCGATTGCAGGATATTTCTACTAATTAGATAGTCAGCCATAGCACATTAAATAGCTTAAAACATACCTGCAAATATCAAATTTGTCACTTTAGATGCACGTTACTCTTCAACAGCACTGCTAACAAAACACCGTCTGCCGATTGCTTGTAAAGCTACAGCGCAACTTTGTTTACTGCGTCTCTCTGGTTCCCTGCCGGGACTCAGCCTGTCAGGGCTTAACTGTCAATCCAACACAGCGGCTGAGAGAAAAAAAGATTACAATTTATAATAACCCCAAAAAACCTTCTTCACGTCCTTTTGAAAACATAAAAATGAAACACTAAATCACATATGCCCATTCCCATGCTTTTGTTCATGGGTGTGTTTTACTAATACCAGCTCCAATCTCAGATCTGTTCCAGAAAGCTATCATCCAGAGTGGCACAGCACTGTCCAGCTGGGCAGTCAACTACCAGCCTGCCAAGTACACGCGAGCCCTGGCTGAGAAGGTGGGCTGCAACATGCTGGACACCATCGACCTGGTGGAGTGCCTGCAGAACAAGAACTACAAGGAGCTGATCGAGCAGTACATCACACCTGCAAAATACCACATCGCCTTCGGGCCTGTGATTGACGGCGACGTCATCCCAGATGATCCGCAGATCCTAATGGAGCAAGGCGAGTTCCTCAACTACGACATCATGCTGGGGGTCAACCAGGGTGAGGGGTTTAAGTTTGTGGACGGCATCGTGGACAGCGAGGACGGGGTGTCTGCCAATGATTTTGACTTTGCTGTGTCCGACTTTGTGGACCATCTCTACGGCTACCCGGAGGGCAAGGACACTCTGCGTGAGACCATCAAATTCATGTACACGGACTGGGCGGACAAGGAGAACCCAGAGACCCGGCGCAAGACCCTGGTGGCTCTGTTCACCGACCACCAGTGGGTGGCCCCGGCAGTGGCCACAGCTGACCTCCACGCCCAGTACGGCTCACCCACCTACTTCTATGCTTTCTACCACCACTGTCAGAGCGACATGAAGCCCAGCTGGGCCGACTCGGCTCATGGTGACGAAGTACCGTACGTGTTTGGAATCCCCATGATCGGCCCCACGGATCTCTTCAACTGCAACTTCTCCAAGAACGACGTGATGCTGAGCGCCGTCGTCATGACCTACTGGACTAACTTCGCTAAAACAGGGTGAGTGTTTTCTTGAGTTTTGATGCCGTACCATTCGTGTGAGATTTTATTCCTGCAATATATGAGATACATCACCCTTATCATTCACTTTTGTGCATCTATAACTTCACCCCTTCATCGTGGAGTCATCACTTAGTCAAACACACACTGCTGGAATCCATCTTACTCTTAATGCAATCCATCGAGAGTAAACATCCATAATCTGCTCAGAAGTAATCTTTATTATGATCACAACTCACTTTCACACACAAACATTAAACAATATTCCCTCTTGCAATAATACGATTGAAAATCATGACGTCTGTTTCACTTATCTTACATTACACCTTTGTCTGTATAATTTGTCAGCTGTTCGTTTAATGAAAAGCTAAATATCTTTGTTAAAAGGAAAGGAAAGAGGCTTTGGGTCGATCTAACAGCTGACTGAATCCAAACTTCCACCCACCAGGTCTTTGGAGTGCACACCCACTAAATTCAATCTTATACAATTAAATGACCTTTAACAGAGAACACATCTCTGATACTCCAAAGATGGATTCGGAGTTGGGGTATCAACAGAGGTTCTGTTATGATTAGTGTATTAATAATTAACTCATGAGTCAAAGGGATCAAGTGGAGGTTAATAAAACAAGTGGAATCTTCCCCTGGTGCTGTGGCTGTTCTGGATGTGATGAGAGGATTTGCTCACTGTTTATATTTGGATCACGTCTTTTGTTTCCTGCACCTTGACATTAGGTATCAGGGTGTTTGCAGCCCAGTCATCCTGAAAATTCACTTTAAGTTGAATAAATATGACGACGTCTTGATCAGCTTCATAGGCTGCAGCGTTCACTCCCCTGCTCTCTGTTTGGCTCCCTTCCAGTTGATGCCTGAGGGGGGGGGGGGGGTCTTTTTCAATGAAGCAGTGAGTGAAAGTGGCCATTTTTCAACAAATCTCCCACACACTTTGCAAAGCCTCGCGTCCCGCTTCATGGCAGGTTGAAGTTTTGAAACTTCCCCTTATGAATGTAAAAAAGACAAATCTCTGTTTGGATGTACATATGATAATGACTACATTTTAAGAATTTGAGCCATTGGGTCAAATTAAAATGAAGGGGATGTCCCGTGTCGTGCTAGTGGCATTATGTTCTTTATGCTTTTGTAAAGTGCATCATCTCATAAGTAAACCAAACAAAAATAACACACATAATTATTATTATCACTCACTGGTACTGGAAGTTGTCTAAATATCAACCAAACAGGTCAACGGACCAACAAGCAGTGATTGTTGACTCTGGTACATGAATGAATCTGGGAGCCACGAAGCCCCCAAGTGGTGTTGTCAGTATTCTTTGGTATACAGGCTACAGTTCAGCGTGTACGGGAAGTGTGGAGGGCAGCGGCTGAGAGAGATTGACCCAAGTCAGGTCAGGTAGAGTCGATTTTACGGCTTTGCTTTGGCACTGCTGAACAGTTTCACCAGCGCTGTTGGAAGGACATACCAGGGCCGGTCTTGAGAATTGAGCAAGTTATTAGAGTCCATTGAGCATTTATTACAAAGTATACCTCAAACTCCTCCTTTGTTGTCTATATATATATATATATATATAATTCTTGATCCAGCTTGTCTCGCAAACTGCCACAAATCCTCCTCCACTCCTATTCACTCTGGTTGAGAAAGTCCTCCTTATGGATGTTGGACCAGCGTTTACAGGTTGGAGCCATAATTCCTGTCCTAATCTGGTGATCACCTCGTTTATTTCTTCTGATCAGCAGTTCTAACTGTCATACCTGCTCCTCGCATTTCTCTTCCATTCCCTCTTGCATGCTCTCCTCCCTACCACTACACTCGGCTTGTGCAAGCTTCAGCTTTTGCCAGCTGTTCTCAAAGGCAGTCCTAATCTTTTCATTCTGCTCTTTAAAGGCAGCTTCCATCTTATCATTTTTTTTTCCTGCCACCAAGCTTGGACTCTCCCACTCTCATGCACCTGGATAAGGAGAATTTCTCAAAGGCGGTTCATTTCTGCTTCTCTTTCATTAATAATCTCCTCCCACTTCCTGAGCTGGCTGTAAAGCTCCCGGTTTGGTTTCAGAGCTTTTCAAAGTTGTCTCCAATCTGTTTTAGCTTCCAGCTTTACATGGGGCAACTTTCCTCACAGAATGCTGGAAGCTGCTGTACTCATGGATCAGTTGACCCGCATTCTGTTGAGTTTCTCAAACTGCCGCTTCAGGTTCTGGTTCTGCTGGTCCAAGAGGAGTGGTTGGACGTGGACTTCACCACAGGCTGACTTTTCAGAATGAAACGAATCACATTATACAATAAAACCAGTATTAGGTTTAGGCATTGTTTTCGTGGCAAGCTACATGAAAAAAAGAAAAGAAAATTGGTGTCCATGTACACGAATCAGTGGATTTGGTGACTATTTCACAGACTGACTTGAGACTAGGCTGGTATGGGTGACTGACAGCATCATCCCAAATGCGTTGAAGCGATTCCGTATATGCAGTATCGGAGCCAGGATTCTGGACCCCTTCTATAGGGAGACGAATGGAAGTGAGAGAAAACTGTCACGCTTTTGGATTTTTGTTTAGTTGTTCCTTCCGTTTTATTTTGACTTCCCCAGCCTCTTGTGTCCTGGGTTGACTTCACTTCCTGTCCTTGTCTGTCCACCCGCCTTGGTGATTGTCTGCCCCGCCCTTAATTGAACCCTGCTGTGTCTCATCACCTGCACCTCCCTTGTGTATTTAAACCCTGTGTGTCCCCTGTGTGTCGGTTTGTTTGTGATGGTTCCTTGTCTGTTCTGTTCCCTGTTTTTTTTGGACTTTGACTCCTGGTATATACCTGATTTGATCCCCACTCTTTGCTGCCATGTTTCCTGTTTAGTAGTTTTGTTTTCTTGGACTTTTTTTGTTCTACATTTATGGACTTCCCCGCTCTACAGTTCTGTGTTGACCTTTTCTTGTTCATTAAAGCCACCATAATTCAACCCTCTGTTTGACTGTGTCTCCCTGCATTTGGGTCCATCCCCCATTATTGTTTTTGGCCTTTAAACCCTGACAGAAAACCCTTTCATCCGGAGATAACTGATTTACTTGTAGTCAGTTCATTTGTATCTAGAAAACCAGACAACTTTACAATGCCTCACATTTGTTGATCATTTCACAACTGGGATACCTTAATTAATTCATTATTCTAATCATTACATTCATAAGTGGTACTGTCTTAATGACGACTGCTATCTAGTCACCTACTCTTGGTAGTAATGGCACACGTCTGGTACGTCACTTCTAATAATAAAGCCTGATTAAATGATCCTGTTGACAGCTCTCAGGCTCAGTGATGTTTAAAGCTCATATAATATGTGTTAAGACGTTATATATAGATGTTATGTATTTGAATTATTCCATTGGGGTCATGTAAATGACCAGACACAAAAATAAAACCAATTCATTGATAATAATTATGTGTATTATTGAAATAGCATGCATTCGCCCCATAGGTCTAACGTAAGACAATTACTCAATATGGTGGAACAATAGTAGAGAGTACCATTTTGAAGCCAGGGCTGTAGATTAAAAACTGGAATTATTACATTTTAAAGGGTTTCAATGGGACATTTTTGCTCTGAAGTGTCTGATGTATGGCTACACAGTTTATTATAGACTTATTTTAAGAGCTGAGGTTTAAAAAAAAATATCACACCATTGTCAAAATATATGCTATATGCATTAACCGCCAAAAAAACTTCAAAAGCCAAAAGTGTCCCTAATGAGGCACATGGGTTACAATAGTCTGGATATACTGAAGGTATATCTGAGGTATTTAGACTATTAGCTGCTAGTGTCAGCTAACTTTTAAGTGTCAAAACAATTCTAACACCCGAACAACATCAGAGCAGAGTGAGTGACTCTGGAGTGACTGATCAGAACGGATCAATGATGGAACAGCATTGATCCGTTCTGGTTTCTATGGGGGACAGTTTTAACCATTTTAAAGGGAACATTGGCACAATGGCACACTCTAGCTCAAACTCTGCACATGGACAGTTCAACTACAAAATACAGTCTTGCTGTTCAGAGCACTGCAGCTTTTTACATCCCGTCTTCAGCCTCCAGCTGTATAAAGTATTTTTGTACTGTACTTTATACCATCCAGCTCCTTAACAGTCAGCAACATATTCTCATAGCCGAGGCTTTATTACCAACAAGCTTTGCAAATGCATATGATTTTAATACAGGTGATTTGTTATCACAAAACAAGCTTGTACGTGTCTCTTGGATTTGAAAGTTGAATGAGCAGAATTCTCCAGCCCATGAAGTAAAAAGGCCAGACTCTGATGTATATCTCTTACGTTGACTCCCCCAACAAACACTGGCAAAGATGTATTCCTCTTCTATGGCAGTAATCATCACACATGGGCCAATATTTAGAGCTTAACTGGAGATTTAGGGCTCACAAACAGTAAGCGTTAACGCCAATAAACAGCGCGACTACGATTATGTACAGTCACTACTCAACGACACACACAGTGAATCTCTCAAAAGGCCATACATGTGCTTCTATTGACTGTCGCAGAGCAGCCAGACTGGGAGACACAGGGACCCAGACAGTTGCTGCTCATGGCTGGTTACCTCGGACTACCAGCACCACAGGAAGCACAGCATTACCCGTGCTACACTCAGCGCTTTACAGTCACGTCAGCGTCTGCTGTGTACTTCACCCCTCTGCTGCTGCACCCAGAGGGTTATTTTGGGATTGAAGACTAGTGGTGGAAGAAATACTCAGATCATTTATTTATTTAAGTATGTGAAAATACTACAGGTACATTTTTAATACTTAACTTAAAGTTTTCATTTATCACAAAAAGCCTTCGTTATAAACTCAGCTCAGGGATTTTTAAAATGAGTGTGTGTTTACCAGAAAGAAGGTTCTAACAGAAAATATGTTGATATGCATCATGGGAAGTGTAGAAGCCAGCAATTCTTAAGCTTGATCTATAATAGGGACTAAAAGTCCCCCAACGATCGACTTCACACGAGGCGGGTGAATCGCTGACTAAACAAGGAAGCGCAGCGTCAAGTGTGAATTTGTTTGGATAAGCGTTTCTTGCGGAAGCTGCAAGCAGCAGCACCACCAGAGGCCAAGCAATCAGCTGAACGGGCACGGCTATAGTTGTTGGGCCGACAAAATACATAAGCAATTGGAGGCTATTGCTTTAGGCTCCAAAGACTTGTTATGACCATTGGTCATTGTCTTTTCATAGACTAAAATGAATTGATGAAGATAAGAAAAGCGCTCTATTACCATGTATGTTTATAATTGAAAAAGTCATGCAACCTTTTCATTTAAAGCTGCTCTGGTGGCAGACAGTAAATGGTAACTATGGATACACAAGTACATGACAGCATCTGTTCCACCACTCTGCTGACACGTATTGTGACTGTGAAATGTCTGCTTTCATACACCTGACTGAGAGGAGTACAGATTTCGTATATCCACCTATGGCAAGAGTCCCTGCTATTATCAACAGATTGGATGCGCGATGGAAACATATGCAAGCAAAACAGGTATTTTCCAGTTCAATGAGCAACGAAAGCCACAAACGTTGTCTTTTCTTTTCCCAAGCAAATTCAGTAGTGGCATATTGTTGCAGCATATGTCAGCACTGAGATGACAGGCCCACCACATGCTAGCTGAGCCTTATGCATAGTTCCATATGTAGCCACCAGTTGGAGGGCAGACCTTGCATGATGGCAGAGTACAACCTTTTTAATGAGAGAGCCACATTAGGCACAGGCACAGGTGGAGCTGTGTACATTTGGACCTACAGTATGTGTTTGCCCTACCTTTTAACACATCAGTCCCCTTGGCAACAACGTGAGTGATGATGTAAACACATGATATGTCATTGTTTGTGCCCATCTCCAAATATCCAACCATATACTTTCAAAACAGGCTTGAAATGGTTAAATAAAAGAGGAACACGCAGATGGTGTGTGTGGAGGTCTGTTGTGTTTCCAAATGTACTCCCCTCCTTTGTGCACGATCAATGGAACAAACTTCCAGAAGCTGTCTCAGAACTCTTTGCCTCCCAGAAGACCTCTATTGCTTGGACAAGCTCCTAGTTTGTGCCAAGTTAAGATCTTTTCAAAGCAACCGCACCAACCAAATTGATCCTGTAAGTGTCAGTGATGACTCTAGAGGAATCTGAACTCAGCTGCTGCCTCTTACTCAATGCGTTGTCTTACTCCGGGTATTATCCTGAAAGAGAACCAATGGTTTGGCTCAGAACGTAGCCTGATATATGAATCTGCTGTTTCAGCTTGACAGGTAATCCTTCTCAAACATGAAGCAACTGCCCTAAGCCAACTTCACTGTAGGCTCAGTTTTAGGCTCAGTCTTAGGCTCACTGTAGGCTCAGTTTTAGGCTCACTG